AGCGATTCTTCCATGAGGAAACCGTAAGACTCATTCTATAAGTTGTTCCTGATGGATTCTTTGTGCATCCAAATTCTGACCCTTACTTGATGGCCATGTCAATGCTATCTCGAAGCATGTCAGTGGTACTCAGATTTTCAACAAGAACATTTGAAGCCCAATGCTAAATGTTTCTTGCTCAATTATCCAAACACCATTGTATGGGTAATGTCATGAAATTTCTCTCCCCTTACCTAAAGGGTTTTCTACATTATATCTTGTCACGGATATCATGCTCTGCTTGTACTTGGGAAGGATATACCCCTGAAACATGTGTTTAAACATATTTTTCCTTTCCATTTTTTTGTTTAACCTTTCTTGTGATTTATATGATCCAAGCAGAAATATTCTCCTGCTTAAGTAAACACCTCGGTGTACAATTATGTCAGCAAGACCCTGTTACTATAATTAATGACATTCCGGTAGCCACCGATGGACGAGAACTTTGCCTATTGGCCCGCCTCGTTTCAACGAGCAGGAAAATGGTTCTCTTCGTCCCTCGCCGTTGGTATTGATGTTGTTGTCGACATAACTGATAGGCTATCCTCTGACATGCCTTGCTTACATGATCGTGTAAGACGTCATCGTCTTCCTACTTTTAACCCACATGGTGGGCCCATAACCCACAGTTCCACATGATCGAAACCTGACTCTCCTGCACACCCCGGTTTCCCAAGTTATTCCTTGCGTGTGGCCTCGTACGTAATTCATGGGCCACCGTCCTAGTGATCTATTCTGGTAACAGACGCAATACTTAATCTCGTTGCTCTGGACCCCTATCGCACTTTGTTTCAGACATCGAACGATTGCCAATCCACTTGAAACTTCTCATGGTACCATCTTACCTTGCTCTCGATATCTTTAAGTTTTAACTCGAGAGTTACTTTTACCACATTCCCCGAGTTATAAACCAGATAGCCACCTTGTAGAGTTCCGTTCTTCCGAAGCTACCCCTTATCCTTTTCGTAAGTACGATGGAGTTTCCGAAGGATGTCGACCTTATCATGATGACCTCAGGCTGAGGTATGAAGACATCCGCGTTATGGATCGACCTCCTCGAGGAGAGCAACTAAGACCAAGAACATTCGCTAGAATTTCGTAACCAGAACCTTCCCCCTTACGCATCTTAAATCTCGGGATGAGATTTCTTGTAGTAGAGGATAATTGTGACACCCTGATAGTTAAGCTACAGTAAACCCCTGTTAAAGATGCTAGGTTATCGTAATTAAAAATTTGCTAAACCTCGCTCGTTTCAAAATTAGTTCACATATAAATTCAAATAACAAATCAAATTATAGTTCCATAAAATAGTGAATTAAAAATAATTAAATACATTCTAAAAATGATTAAATCTTTTATAATTAATATAAAATAAACCGTAGCTCGGATGAAAAAACTTTGTATATGAAAGTTGCTCAGAACGACGAGACGATCTGGATATGCAACCCGTTCGTCCGCCACGCGTCCCTAGCATAGTGAACCTGCAACATTTCACCTTCGGTTCTTCTGTCCGAAAACGCGAAACACCGGGGATACTTTCCCGAATGTTTCCCCCCTTCGCCGGTATCACCTACTACCGCGTTAGGGCCCACCTAACACCGCTCATTATCATGTCATGCATCGTCATGCTTATGTGTGCATTGTATTTACTGTTTCTTCCCCCTCTTCTCTCCGGTAGACTACGAGACCGACGCTGATGGTGCCCAGTTCGACTACGGAGTTGACGACCCCCTCCTTGCCAGAGCAACCAGGCAAGCCCCCCCCCCCCCTTGATCACCAGATATTGCTTATTCTTCTCTCTACTGCTTGCACTAGAGTAGTATAGCATATTACTATTTCGATCGATCTTATTCTGTTGCATAGCCTGTCATTGTTGATACAGTTGTTGATACCTTACCCGCAATCCTAAATGCTTAGTATAGGATGCTAGTTTATCATAATTGGACCTACATTCTTGTCAGTCTGCCTTGCTATACTATCGGGCCGTGATCACTCGGGAGGTGATCACGGGTATATACAATACATACATACATACTATACAGATGGTGACTAAAGTCGGTTGGCTCGTTGAGTACCCACAAGTGATTCCGATGTGGGGGCTGAAAGGACAGGTGGCTCCATCCTGGTAGAGGTGGGCCTAGGTTCCCGATGGCCCCTGACTGTTACTATGTGGCGGAGCGACAAGGCAGGTTGAGACCACCTAGGAGAGAGGTGGGCCTGGCCCTGGTCGGCGTCCGCGGTTACTTCAAAATAACACGCTTAACGAGATCTTGGTATTTGATCTGAGTCTGGCCACCGACCTATACGCACTAACCAACTACGCGGGAACAGTTATGGGCACTTGACGTCGTGGTATCAGCCGAAGCCTTCTAGACGTCAGCGACTGAGCGGCGCGCGCCGGATTGGACTGGAACGCCTGCTCTTGTATTAGGGAGACTAGGTCTGCTTCTGGCCGCCCACACAACATGCAGGTGTGCAATGGGCGATGGGCCCAGACCCCTGTGCCATATGAGTTAGACCGGCGTGCTGACCTCTCTGTTAGGCCTAGGTGGGGCTGCGACATGTTGATCTTCCGAGGCCGGGCATGACCCAGGAAAGTGTGTCCGGCCAAATGGGATCGAGCGTGTTGGGTTATGTGGTGCACCCCTGCAGGGAAGTTTATCTATTCGAATAGCCATGTCCCTCGGTAAAAGGACGACCCGGAGTTGTACCTTGACCTTATGACAACTAGAACTGGATACTTAATAGAACACACCCAGACAAGTTCCAGAGACAACCCTGTGGTCGCTTTCCCACAGGGCGACGAGGGGAGGATCGCCGGGTAGGATTATGCTATGCGATGCTACTTGGAGGACTGCAATCTACTCTCTTCTACATGCTGCAAGACGGAGGCTGCCAGAAGCGTAGTCCTCGATAGGACTAGCTATCCCCCTCTTATTCTGGCATTCTGCAGTTTAGTCCACCGATATTGCCTCTTTACACATATACCCATGCATATGTAGTTTAGATCCTTGTTTGCGAGTACTTTGGATGGGTACTCACGGTTGCTTTTCTCCCCTTTTTCCCCCTTTCCTTTTTAACTGGTTGTCGCAACCAGATGCTGGAGCCCAAGAGCCAGACGCCACCGTCGACGACGACTCCTACTACACCAGAGGTGCCTACTACTACGTGCAGGCCGCTAACGACGACCAGGAGTAGTTTAGGAGGATCCCAGGCAGGAGGTCTGCGCCTCTTTCGATCTGTATCCCAGTTTGTGCTAGCCTTCTTAAGGCAAACTTGTTTAACTTATGTCTGTACTCAGATATTGTTGTTTATGCTGACTTGTCTATGATCGAGCACTTGTATTCGAGCCCTCGAGGCCCCTAGCTTGTATTATGATGCTTGTATGACTTATTTTATTTTAGAGTTGTGTTGTGATATCTTCCCGTGAGTCTCTGATCTTAATCGTACACGTTTGCATGTATGATTAGTGTACGATTGAATCGGGGGCATCACAGGTGGTGTCGGGCTTGTCGTGCGCGTCAGGTGCGCGGGGGACAGGCGGGACGCAGCGGATGTGTGGCGTGTGTGTGTATGTATGGCGTGGTGGTACCGTCACGTTAGCTAGCCAGATGCATTGGCATTTCCGTTGCCGTCGAACGCGGTGTGCGCGTGGGAGCGCGTTGCGTGCGCATGGAGTTAGTTGATAGTTAGATCGTGGGCTCGTTCCCTGCATGCTAGGTCGTGTTGGTCATTCAGTTAGGCTGGTCACAATGGGCAAGAACATAAGCTAGTAACTTCACACTTTCCTAGACTATGTTACTACCTTCATAGTGGGTAGGAACATCCATGTAGTGTCATGCAACGATGTATTTATTAGGTTATAGACTCATTGTTTCTTGGAGTGTGTGATGTTCCGGTAACTTAGCTAGTTACCACAAGCACCTCTCTCTTCATTAAATACGTGCCACATAAGCAAAGTTGTATTGGAGTGTGTGATGTTACTCCTAAGTTCCTCCCCACTGTGACCAGCCTTAGTGGCTAGCATGACAGGCCGGCTACGCATGCGTGAGTCTGCTACTTAAGAGTTGCACCATGTTTGCTTGACAGTGCCAGGAGAATAGAAGTGAGAAAAGGCCGAGGCTGTGTGTGCGGCTCGCCACCAAAAACTATCTGCTTTTTCTTTTACATGGTAATACGTGTCTCATTCATATCATAAAGATCAAGTGTGTGGCTGCCTATGATGCATGGTCAGGGGCTCCTCCGCTTGCGAAGTAAAATATATATATAAGATAATTAGGTAGGGTTCGGGCGTACACATCACTAGCTGGATAGAGTTTGGGCATTGCCAAAAATATGCCCATACCTTAACCATGTGGATCGAGTACCCACTGTAATATTGCCATCCTTTAGTTTTGAACAAACCGCGTTGTAACTACTCCCTCCGTCTTGAATTACTTGATGCGGAAATGGTTGTATCTCGACATATTTTTAGCTCTAAATACATCTATTTCTATCCATTTCACCCATCTACTCCCTCCGTTCGGAAATACTTGTATCAAAATAAATAAAAGGGAATGTATCTAGATGTATTTTAGTTTTAGATACATCTCTTTTTGTCCAGTTTGATGACTAGTATTTTCGGACGGAGGAAGTATGTGACAAGTAATTTGGGACAGAGGGTCTAACCAGGCCTGCTAACTCTGATAACATCATTTTCGTAATTAAAATGAACTTTATTACCCAGGCCATAATTTATCCTAAGGATGATGGCAATTCAACACTAAATTACAATGGTAATTCAACACTAATAAGGAATAATGGTAATAACTTTCTTCTCTCTTACAATCCTTTGTATGTAACAGCACAAGCTAGGAAAACTGTAGTGAAATTCGGCTGACATCCACCATTATTCAGGCAGCGTTCTCGACTATAACATTGCTGCTTGTGTGCTTCCATGCTGGTCAGGTCACCAGGCTCGTTCATCCGTAGCAGCGGATGGGGTCGTTGCAGCCCTTCTCCGTGGACTGTTTGAAGCCAAAGCGACCGCCCTTCGCAAGGTACTGCTGGTGGTACTCCTCCGCCTTGTAGAACCTCTTCGCGGGGAGGATCTCAGTGACTATCTTCCGGTTCTGAACCTTCTGCTGCTTCTCCATAGACTCGAGCGCCGCCTTCTCCTGCTCTGATGTGTAGTAGTAGATCCCTGACCTGTACTGGGTTCCGACGTCGCCCCCCTGCATGTACATATTTCAGAAATGTATATGATCAGAAACACAAGTAATGAACCTTTAAGAAAAGGAACTGACGTGAACTGACGTGTCGCAGTTTGTTGGAACAGGGCCTCTTTGATTAGCAGAAGTCCAAAAACGCAGGAATAGAAAAAAACATACGCTGTAATGTCATACCCATTTGAATCCTACAGGATTTTGGTTTGTTTGATAGCATCACAGTAAAAACAAAGGACTCTTACCAAGAGGTTTGTGAGTGGATGCTAAAATTCCTATGGAAGTACAAAGGAATCATCAGGAAAAATTCCTAGGATTCAACCCTATGAATCAAACGACCAACTTAGGAAAAATCCTAAGGATTCCAATGCTCTAAAATTCCTATGAAAATCCTTTGAACCAAAGAATCCTTAGGAAACAAATCCTAGGAATCAACCCTATGAATCAAACCACCAACGTACGAAAAATCATGAGGATTCCAATCCTCTAAAATTCCTATGAAAATCCTTTGAATCAAAGAGGCCCTGAGAAATGGGCTTATACAAATGTGCAGAAGCAAGTTCCATTGCTCGCAATCAAATGAGCTTCGGGGTAATATTCAGAGATTCAAGTAAGTTCACATCAGAGGTTCAAAAGGCTACGAGCTAGTTTGAAATATCACTTAATAAAGGGCACCAACAGGCATAATGACTGATCAGTCAAGGTATCAGATTCCATACAGTTAGTAAAATTCTTCATACCAAATGGATTCTGCAGCTGAGTCTTACAGCCAAGATTACCACCACTCTCGTGACACTGATTAGCTTAACGCAAAACTGCACAAATGACAATACCACTGTGGTACTAACCGCTAAAGAGTGTTTAGCTAAGTAGTTCCTCTGAAAATTAGTCAGGAACACTGCTAGTGTCCGATGCTATGCCTATTCCGCTCAAAATGTAAAAGGTGGACAACAAGTTTGCAGACCTCTACTATACACACAATCGCAGACTGTACACATCAAATGCCCAAAGTGCTACTGCTCTCCGGGCGTGCTTGGCTCGCTGCCGGGTTCACGGATGTAGGCTTGTAACACAGGTGCACTGACACTATGTAAAAGATTGCCCAAATCCGTATAAAAATGACAAGGTTCGATAATGAGTTTGAGGTGTATGTTCTAGTTCACGTCTTGCTGTGTAGAACTGACGCCAGAAAGAACGCAAACGTCGCTTTGGCCGAGTGGTTAAGGCGTGTGCCTGCTAAGTACATGGGGTTTCCCCGCGAGAGTTCGAATCTCTCAGGCGACGACTTTTTTTTATTTGTCAATTTTGCAATAATTTGTTTCTGTTCTAATAATGAAATAATTCAGCAATTATATTCCCAAAAATTCTAAAGATATTTTCTCAGTAATAAATTCGTAATGTCCAGAAAAAATTTCCCCAATCCTGAAGTCCATATCCTCACACTCTAAGCCACAGAAAAGGAATCAAAAAGCAAAATTGAGGGGATCAGCAATCAGGCTGTGTGGCCGAGTGGCGACGGACCTGGCGATTGGGCGTGGTCGGGTCGTGGCGCGCCCAGAAGGTTTCGAGGAGGTCGTCGTACTTGCAGGCGGCGGGGTCGTACTGGACGCGAACGACCTCGTTGTGGCCGGTGGCGCCGGTGCAGACGTCCTCGTAGGTGGGGTCGTGGAAGGCGCCCTGGCTGTAGCCGACCTCGGTGCGGGTGACCCCGGGCACGCGCTGGAACACCAGCTCCACGCCCCAGAAGCAGCCGGCCCCGAACTGCGCGAACTCGCTCCCGGGCGCCGGCTTGTCCTCGTCGGGCCCCTGCGCCAGCGCCGCGGACGCCTCCGACGCGCGCGGGCTTCCCCCGCCGCCCAGCCCCAGCTTCCCGAGCCAGCTCATCGCCGCGAACCCGCCGCTGGTGGTGGTTCCCGGCGCCGCGGTTTGGGTGGGGGCGAGGAAACGACGGCTGCGGGACGAGGAGGAGGGGGTGGGACGGAGGGCGGCGGCGCCGAGGCGGGAGGCGAGGCGGAGGGGGGAGGAGGAGAGGGAGGCGGGTGAGGTGAGGAGGGGAGGCATCGAGGCTTTCCCTTGCCTTGCCTTTTGTGGCGGCGTGGCCCAGATGCTTCGTCGGCTCAGTCAGTCCCGGTTGCGTTTGCGTTGCGTCGCTTTGGCTGGTTGGTTGCTGCTCTTTTCTTTTCTCCACGTCCTCCCTCCCTCGCTGCCTTGTTGATGATGGAGTCCTGCTTGTCGGGCCGGGTTCGCTCGCGGGTTTCATCACCCGTTAAATCGTAATCGTAGCACTTTTACTACCGCCTGTTTCAGAACACACGCAAAATTTGCGCTCACTTCCACCACGATAAAAGGGTGAATTTCGCTGCACACGACGCTGTAAAAGTCATCGTCGGGTTGCAGCACATCACATCACATCATATGTGCTCGCTACTGTTGGTCAAAAACATCACCTTCGGTCATAAAACAACACCCGGACAGCGATGAGTCCGATTTCAGTCACTGTCTACTGGATATGAAATCTGCAGGCTCCATGGATGATGAAAGAATCAAAATTGAAGGCGAGTGGCGAACCGTCGAGAGTTTTGACCGGGTACGCGCAAGCAGTTTCGTCCGGGGCTGGATAAGAAGATGAGAGGATCATGCGATGCGGGTATGCGAAGGCGTTGTAGGACACGTAGTCAGTGAGGAAATAGAAGCTTTTTTTTTGCGAAAAGTGAGGAAATAGAAGCTGAAACCTGCAATCTTGTACTACACCGCTGGTGGTGGTGGATTGGATGACAGGGCAAGCCTTGCCTGTGATCAGATGAGGCTCCACGTATGCTGTGTCATGCCACGCGAAGACACTTGTGCGCTACGTATTTCTGAGGAAATTCTGTGTGTTTGTACTTTTCTATATTCAAGAACGAGAAGACTTTTTTCTCATACCGGAAGCACCGGTTGCATCTTTGAACCCTGTAACGACCACCGGTCAACAAAACCACGCATCCTAAGCTCTTTGTTACTAGGCACACCGAGAAAATGTGTTTCAAGCATGTAAATTTCACAGAAATCGGTTGAATTTCCATAGTAACACGAGGAACTTCATACGTGAATCAGGCAACACGTCATAATAACAACCTTGTCAGCACACGGGAACATTAGATTGTTACATTTTTTTAAGTACAGCATTTACAGCAGTAATAAACAGATAAACAAGCTATTGGCACACAGCCACACACGACACGTCAGTTACCAGTTTCAGCTTAAGCTTACTCAGGTCAAAACAGGTCAAGTAAGGTCTGAAACGAGTGCTACAACTCGTTGGCGTTAACCATGGCATCTCGAGGCAAGCAGGGAGGAGGGTGAGAAGCTGATGCTGACCTAATCCTAAGCGCGTTCTTCTTGAGGCTTTCACGGCACGGAGCCAAGAACTCGTGTGACAGAGCATCCTCCGATGTGATCCTGCACCTGGGGTTTACCGCCAGGCACTTGTCGACCAGATCGAACAGCGAGTCTGGGACCTGCTCGAGGAGCTCCGGCCTGCGGGCGTTGGCCATGCACCACTCCCTGAGATCCACCGACTGAAGCAATTTGACATCAAATAGCTCCTGGAGGACAAAGGCAGGGTGACTGATTCAGTGATCAGTTCATAGGGTGTCAATGTGTCGATCGGTTGACTTTGCGTACCTGTGGGTAGGAAGATTCGCAATTGTGCAGTTTTGCTACTTCCCATAATTCTTCGTTGCCTCTGATCTTCGCTATTTCTTTCATGTTCCTGTTGTTCAACATATGCCACCAGGTTAGCGTGCTCTTTAACTCAGGGAAGCAAAGCTTTGAAAATGAGCCAGCTAACTCACTGTTCAGGATCTCCGCCGAAAGGTGCCTTGCCGATTATGAAGTACAGGAGTGTCACCCCAGCCGACCAGACATCAACTTTGCAACTCTGATGAGAAGATCTCAAAAGAACCTGAAGGAAAAAACAGCCATTCAATATGTGACACCTCAAAGCCGAAAAACTCTCAGGTAGGAACTACATCAAACCTCTGGAGCTCGGAATCCTTTAGTTCCAACACATGGACCTTCTCTTCGCTGCTTTCCATTTCCTGCAAGAACCAATTAGTTAGATCACTCAACACCTGAGGTCACTGGATTCAATGTACAAGGTCTAACACTGTTCAATGGAAAAGCATACCTTTGCTGTTAATCGTCCCAGAACCAGGAACAGCATTACCATCACAACGCAGGGGCATTGGAGTAAGTACAAATAACTTCCGATCCACACTACCCACAGGAGCAGCAACCCTCTTCCTATGGGAAACTGGAGCTGCCGGTATATTTTGTTTGGGACTGTCCATTGCCTCCTGCAAGAAGCTCATTAATTCCTTCCGCCCTCTGTAAGGCATTGGCTGCTTTAACCTGTCTAATGGTGTTTTCACGCTTGTAGGATCCTTGGCCGAGGTTACACCAGATCCATCAGCAGGTTGGCTACCATGCCTACTTTTATTGTCAACCCTAGGATCACTGCCCACAGGGATTTTATTTGATCTTTTCCTCTTGGGCCCAAGAGGTTGTTTTGAGTCGGTTGCTGCTTCTTTGGCATGAATCACTAGAGAAGATTTCAACGAAGATTGAGATGCGGTATCCTTCCCACATGACATTGTCTCAGATTTACCTGATCAACAAAAGTCATATCTCAGTCTGCAGTCACACACGACATATAACAATTTAAACAACTACAAATTCATTGAATAAGAATTCATGTAATCCTACCTAGGTAACAAAAACTTCTAATGAATCAGAGACTGACAACACTACACTGACTTATTCTTTGTTGAATCTTTTTGTTGGCCCTGTTTCATAGTGATTTCTAACAACGATTAGCAAAGGTGGCATGAAGCGGAACTTTTTATTCTCTTTCGAGACCATGGTGAAAATCTTCTCATGACACCTTTCAAACTCATATTTTTTAAGTAGCTTTTCACTCAGGTATCTTGTGCCATCATTTGGTTGCTCAAGCTAATGACTTTTCAGAACCATTGCCAGGAGAATGCTTTTTGGACAAAAATACAGTGACACGGCTTAATGATTCTAATTTTGGACAACTACTGGAGATGTTTGTGTTTCATTTGATTCAATTTTTTTAACGACAAACAAGTATATCCCAAAGTGAAAAAGGTTCAAAGCACTGTAGCATGGAGGAAAATGTTGTGAAATATAATACATTTGGTGTGGAGAATCCTAAATAGGGATGAGCAAAAGCAATCAATGATTTAAGTGCACCACAAAATAAACAGTAATTCAATATTAGAAGGTGAACTTACTGCTTTTCAAG